CGGGAAATCTGGCAGCTTTCAGTGGAACCCCTTGAAGTCAAAAGCGAAAGCAAAAGATCAGAGGAGTGAGGCTGGTTTGCAGGGCAGACAGGGGGAACACAGGCCCTGCAGCAAGGCCGAGGGCAGGATGCCATGGCTTGCTGGATGGATGCTCTTGGGCAACTGCCTTCCTCAAGCCCCTGAGGCGGACCTCTCCATGCACTGAACCAAGAGCATTCAGCACCGGTGCAACAGTCTGCAATAACCTTTTGGAGCTGGGAGGCCATTGGCACCCACTATTTTGGCTCAACAGTTGTTTTCTGATAACATGAGGAACTGCTTGTTTCTGTCAGAAGAGTGGAGACACAGCAGTTCCCTTTTTCCTCATGACCCTCCACTATTTTCCTACCACTGCCCCATATCTTTGCTGAAGCACCCAGCATGAACAAGTTTTTGCTGGCATTCCTTTATTTATTGAATTAGGCACCTAAAGAAATGTTTCCTAAAGAACTAAAATAAATAATAGAAGAAAAATTTCTCAACCTTCTCAGATGCCTCATCCCCTGATTTATTACTGTTATTTTCATATTTATCCAATAGCTTGTCAATACGCTAGGAAAACTCAGTAATTTCATCTGTTACTATTTGGCTACCCACAACATGTTTATTAGCATAACCACACGTTGCTGATGTTGAGCTCTTCCTAGGCACACTGTAAACCTGCTGACTTTCTTCCCCCCTTTACAAAACAAAACTGTTACTTTCACCTAGAGGCCACTTACGATTTCCCTATGCAGTTCTCTTCAGAACTGGTTATTTCTACCAAAGATAGGAGCGTCCATAGGGAAAGTGAAATGACTTTATAGTAGCAGGAGATGCTACATATGAGTTTTAGCTAAATGCCTTCAGCAGGTATTTTTTGCAGTGGAAGCATACAGGGCCGGCTTTATTAATAGCCACCTACTAAAATTGTACTGACATTAAAGTCACTACTAAGTTGCTACAGAAAAACTACTCAAAGATTTGCTACCTACAGAGCAGCACTCACTTTACTATGGCTTTGCTTAAAGTGATTTTCTTTTCTTTTTGCTTTCCTGTTCAGTGAACTTGAGGCAATTATTTTTAGGGAAGTGCAATGAAATGCATTAAACACAGGCCTTTCCTAGCTGCTGTTCTCCAGTTACAGAGCAAATAGTGCAGAAACGGTAGTAGAGCTAAGCAAAACCCAAACCGCTCCAGGAATTCTCTCCCTCATTAATAATTGCTGAGAAGTAAGAGAAATACATTGTTCCCACACTATATCCCTTATTTAGAGATCAATTTTGCTCCGAAAAGAATGCATAGCTCACTAACTTGACTATTGCTTTTGAATATGTGCAAATATTTTTGGAAATGCTTGCGTAACTCAGGTATCCTACATGCATACAGTTCCTAAAACTGGAAACCTAAATTAAAACTGGATTCTACTTGCATTTTTATTTTAGGTTTTCATATATGTTCTACTGCAGCATTAAAAGTTGGTTTTCGTCAGTTTCTCAAGTAGCTAGATGCCTTGAAAGTGCCAACTTCTGATTTTAAAGCACTTAAAACAAATCTGAGTTCAAAACACACCTACTAACAAGAATTACCCCAAGAAAAAAGGATTAAGACTTTTACAACATATTCAACATAATTAAAACTGCCGCTGCAGATAAGTTAGCCTACATTATTTTACCTGAAGTATGGCTTCCAATTAACCCCAGCATCTTTTAGTTTTGCATTCTTACAAAATTCTGCCTGTTTATAAAATTTGTACATTCTAAAATGTGCAATCTTACTGTAATTGCATACACAATTTGGGCAAAAACAGGTATTAACCCTCAATTTATGAAGTATTTAGGAAGTACAAGCCTTCCACATTAAACCAGCCTCCATCTTTAAATCATGGAATGCTACATATGAAGAGCTAAAATTGCTTCAGCAAGCAGTAGGAGCAGAAAGGTTAGCAAGTCTAGGATTCATGCAATAAAGATAGATTAATTTATATTTAATTTCCCCAAACGCAATTTAATTTCAAGTAGTTTGGCTAGCTGTACACTCAATTTTTTGTTATTATATAAAAAGCTTCATTCCATTCATTAAAAGAGGCAATGAAAACTTAGTTTTAATGGATAACAGTAGTAGCAACAACATATAATTAGATGCTGAAACAGGATGCTTAACCACAGTGGGTTAAATTGATCCTCAAATATAATTTAACAGAAGTAAATAGAGTTACACCAAAGGTGGCTTTTAGACATGAGTAGGTTTAAACTAATCATTATATTTAGACAGGTTTCACCAAGAAAGCTGCAGCAGCAGCCTTGGGATTTTTAGCTGCCTCCTACTGAAGCAGTGTACAAGTATCATCTATTATAATCAAGTAGGCATCTTTCTCAAAATCTAATTTCTGCTTTTTCAGGGTACAGTGAGCTTTTCATGTCTCATTTTTCATGGTATCTATGTTAGTACAATGCACAATTTGCAGAGAGCAAACGCCATGGCAAACAACACTAATAACTGATGAGTCATTTCTGTCACCTGCAGCAAGAGCCACCGCTATGGCCTGTCGATTTGCAGCACACAGGATCTGGACACCCAGCGCGAGACTGGGACAGGTTCGTCTCACCGCGGCGCTAACGGCTGTCATCGCTGCAGTCACTTCGGGCCCCGGACACACCGTGTAAGGAACATCATGCATGTTTTCTACTATCAAGCCGTCCTGTGGAGATTATTATAAAGAAATATGATTAAACTGGGGAAAAAAAAGGAACTTAAAAAACATGGCTAGTTTACCATTAGGCTGTTTTGTATTAAAAGACACACAAGTTTAAAAGCTTTCCTTCGAAGGAAGGATTATCTACAGTAAATCGTGTTGATGCATACAACCACTTATAAAAGTGCTTTCCTCAACAGCATGGTATTTGCAGGGAAACCATGAAGAGAAATAAATGTGATTTTAATTACACATTCATCAATTAGGTTTCCTTTGATCCATCCTAAAACGTGAACTATAGGTGAATGTGTTAAACCTTATACCTCATTAAAAATAATGTAGAGTCAAACTTCAACTATCCAAGTGGAATATAGGATATTGAGTATGTTTGGATAACGGAGGATTTAGAGATAATCAAGGCAATTTTCAGTTCAATTAATGTCAGAAAATAAGTGTTATATTGGATAAATACGGGAATATTTTGTTTGACCATTATTGTGCCTATTTGCAGTGTGCCTAATACCGTAGTATTAACTATTTATTGATATTCTCCCATTCCAGATTCAGAATCACTTGACAGAAGATATTGCTATTTATTATCTACTATATCTTTCACTCCACACAGACATACTTTCAGCAAACAACAGAGTGATGATAAAATACTCTGCTGATATAATTTATGTGATCTATTGAAAAATCTTTGTATATTGTCTAGTATCTTGCACTTTTCCAGTCATTGCATAGTAGACACCAGAAAGTTTTCAACAACTGCAGATCATATATAATTTTGTCAAGGACTAATAACAAGAGTAAAAGAAAGTAAAAGTTTTCAGACTTGAAACACAATTCAAGTCTGATGTTTTGCATTTCCAGTGAGAATGTTAAAAGAAGCTAGAATTTCTCACCTGCTTCAATCCAAAAATACAAAAAGTTTAACAGACAAATTAATTGTGTATATAGAAAATACATTCTGCTCTCTCTGGAGTTTTATCACATATTTTCACCCTTTAAAATGAGAGCTTTACATTTCAAAGATACTCTAATTGAACCAGAATAGAAAGAAGAACACTTGGGAGAAAAAAAAATACAACTAGAGATTAAGCAAAGAAGTTTGGTTAATAATAACGTAGAGAATCAGGAAGGGGAAAAAAAGGTATCCTTTTTGAAAAAACTTTCATACGTAACGCTTCTTTAATCTTTGTTGTAGTGTAGAAGCCCTTTTGGCAGTAAAAGGTAAGACAGTATATAAAATGCAGTCAGCATTTAATGGCTGAATTACAGGCTAAGCCACAGACATCATAAATGAACACCTAACATGAAGGATGGGGAAAACTGAGAATGGAAATAATTCAGTGGAACAACATGGTCAGTCCAAGCACACGACCCGCACACAATCAGTGCACCAGGGTACAGCTGCCTTTACCAAATGACTTGCAGCTGGCATTTAAATACACAAAATACATGCCAGCTTAAAACTAAAAGGACACAACCTATTAAAAGAAAAAGTGATCTAATATTATGAGCACCCAACATTAGACCTACACACTGTTTGGTGCCATTCTTCAGCATATTTAATTACAGAATTCCAGTCCAAGAAAACCTCAACTAAGCAAAAGAAAATCAGATATGACAACTAACAAAAACATCTGTCCTTGATTTTGTTTCTACATCCAATCCAATGTATAATTTTACATCCACACTTCTCTAGCTGTGATGGGTGGTAGCCATATGACAAAGATGACAACCAATCCTCAGAAAACCCATAGAATTTTCAGAAATCAAAAAAGTCACAAACTTTTAGCTGGTTTCTCTGAAATGAGGTCAGGACTGCTCCAACAAACCTGAACTGACCAAATGGTCCTCTACCTCAGGCACAATTACTGAATCCTTTGTGGTACCAACAGAAAGAGAAATCCCTTAGCCTTTTGCCTTCTGTACACGTAACTATATTGGGGCAGTCTATGTGAGACTGCAAACATGGTCAGCAGCAGTATGTGGCAAAAGGATTAACATAGGACTACAACATTTTAACAAAACAAACCAAACTCAAATAATACGATGAGCCCTGAAAGCCAGGTAATTCCTTGAGACCACAACGCCTGGAAGCCCTTGGTCCTTGGCTCAAGAATGCTCTACTTGACAGGCTTCACCAAAACTTGGTATCTCGGAAACTCCATACCATAAGAAACTCTTACCAAAAGAGCAAGGAGCTAGGATCTGCAAACCAGAAGCCCCAGGTTTTCAGGCAGTCAAGAACCAGCCTCGATAGGACACACAGGAAAAAAGGTGTCTAGGAATGGGGCTTCAGATGCTCAGCTCCTGAAGAGCCATGCTAGTAGCTGAAAAAGCAGGAGAACAGACCGGCAGAATTCTACAGGAGCACTGCACTGAAACTAAGCTTTCCGTGAGTTGCTACTACTTTGACAGCTCAGGATTTGCATGAAGCAAATTATTCCATTAAATACATTAATTCATTTAAAAATTAATTAAAAACCCTAGCCATACTACTGTGCATAAAAAGTATCTGATTGAACTCTAGTTCAAAATGCAGGCATATGGGAGGATTTCAGCATTTCTCTCTTCTGCCTTAAACTTACTATATTCACATTTCAGCAGTTGTCTCTTCCTATGGCCTCAAGGTCCACAGTTACAGTGAATATTTTTGGTATTACTTTAATAATGCGTTATCCTTTTGGTACCATCAGATAGATTATGTTCTTTTGCATATTATGTTTTGTTTAATTAAAAAAGAACAACATATGTTCTGCAATACAGAGAGCTGAATTACAGATGCATTAACTCGAAGCTTCTTTCATATTTTTATATAAAAATATAACACCACAGATTTCTGTGTTTACTGAATTGATATGTATATAAAACAGACTTCAGTACTATCAAACAGCTAATTAAAATGGTGGAAAGAAAACAGTTATGCTGAATTAAAGTTCTTGGAACTTAAGCTTATAGTTTAGAAGTCTATGGGAACAGCTACTGTATTACACGCTCCAAAGTGGAATTTATTTGGATAGTACGAGATAAAACTCTAGCAAATATCTTTTGTATTTCTTTTCCATTGAATATTAAAATGATTTAAGTGTTCCTTATATAAAACAGCTTTATTTTTAGTAATTTTCAAACAATGTATTTCCTTTTTACTTTGAATGACTTCTGAAGTGCCACATACATGCTAAGTGCCTCTTGTATCACAGTTAGCTACTGGAAAACAGGTTATTTAAATTGCTCTCTGATTATATAGAAAAATAGTTTCCTTAGCCTTATTCCACTTATAGAAACAAACTCTTAAAACACCTCAGCTGCATGCACACGTATCACCACAGAAAAGCCTCAAAAAATAGTCACAACATTATAAACCACAACAGCTGCAACAATCATACAAGCTTTAACTCAGTATCTACCTAATGTAACTTTTACCTAGGGTTTCCCCTAACAGAAAAGCTTTACCTACAAACACTGACATACTAATACAAACCTTTGCAGGCTTAAAACAACTTCCTACAGGAAAAGAAAGGGCTTTTACACCATACCCATTATTATATAGGCTCAGATGTGTACCAAGACAATAACAGCCTTTCCTACCACCACAGTCATGTGCCCCTTATAAAGGAAATCAGGTGCCTTTGTAGACCATCTATTTGCTGTGCCTAGGCACAGCTTCCTAGCAATTCCTTTAAAAACTCGACATCCAGAGTATGAGATTACTACCTTAGTATAGGTAAGTAGATGTCTTATGTTCTCCTGCATATACCATAGGAGGTAGTTGTGGGGAGGTTTGTCTGCTACTTTATTCTACTGTAACATAGCTAAGATTTGAAACATTAACCTCTGTAATTCAAATGATAACTACCTATGTTTCTATACAGAAATACTACTTTATTCTGTCTCAACTGTTATTAAACTCTAAGTAATTTGAATTCCAACTATCATTGTAATTATTAGAGTAATAGGCTTGAAACTTTTCATTTTTTAAGAACATCAATGTAAAACATGTACTAACAACTACGTTTCCAGGTACAGAGATAAAAGAAGGGTTAGGAGAATCAGAGAAAAGCAATAAACGCATCTCCAGAGACAGCATTGGTAAAAGAAGCAAACCTAAAATTCTGTGTGGTAAGAAGCATCATAATATTTGCAACTCAATGTAGCTTTATGCTTTTGGGTTTTTTTTTTTTAAAGAAATAGTTTTACTTATGTATCTCTGACTGTCTTTAATATCAACTACTCAAGTAGCTACAGTTAAATAACACTAGTAGTAAAGTGATCAATGAAGCTGGAGGGAACTCATGCTCTACTCTGGCTACAAATAAAGCTTCATCTAGGCTGAACAGAATGAATAAAAGTTAACTTGAATATATATTTTACATTTTTCTTAAACAAAAGCAGGTATAAATTGGAGGGATGATAATGCCTTTTAGCTTGCTGCTTACAAAATCTTGTCTAGGGAACTTCATTGTTTAGCAACACACAAGTACAAAGCATATACATTTTGAGCACAGATGGCTTCCTAACTGAACATTCACTTGTTTTCATTACTATGCTCTAATATCACAAATCTTTCATATTTATTATGTTAAGCTGCTAATGTGCCAGACAAGTCACCTTTTTCTGAGTACACTAGGATTTACTTCCAAGTGCAATGCATATTGAGTGAGCAAGACCATATACTTGATTTTTAAATGCTAACACCAATTCAAGTGACTTGAGACAATATGTAAACACCTAGTAGCAGCAAGATGGTTACATATCTTCTTAAAGGCTACTGTAGGCAGTATTTGAAAATACTGCCAGCAGAAACATCCATGGAAAAAAACCTTGAAGTTTCTAGCTCTTTTTCCACAAGAAAAACTGATAGCTTAACAGATCACTCAAAGTATTGATGGAAAAACTTAAATATATTAATATTACAGAAGGAGGATAGCTAGTTTGGAAGAGTGGTGATCTTTGCATAAAAGCCAGGAAGCTCCTGAAGTATCTATCATGAAAACTTGCACTTCTCAAAGCAGCAGGAAAAACTAAACCAGTGAATTGCAGAAAGTGTTAGGCAACCATATTGATACTTATGGAAGCTCTCCTGATTATCTCTGACCTTTATGGCATTAATAGAGGATTTGTTTGTCATATTACTGTAACACTATTGCGTATGGACCTTTAGAATGAAGATTGGTGTGGAGTGTATACTGACATTCTTGTGACTTCTACAGGAAATAGACCAAACGTAACTTTAAGCCCTGAATTTGTCCAAATGTGTAGAGAAATGACTGCATTCACCTCATCTGTCTACCTGAGAGGTAGGTTTAAAAATATATTCAAGGTCAGAGACTGGTTTACCTTTTCTCCTACTGCATTGCAGTTAGACCTGGAATAGCAGAATTTTTACAACTGTTGAAAAGACAATAAAATATAAAATCTAAATTAAAGTTTTGTTAGCATTGATTTTAAAGCTTGTCTTAAAACTGTTCCAGCTTTCTGCATGTCAGCAGTGGAAATGAAGTAACTGCTTCTGTACCCTCCCTCACCTTTAGGTATACTTGGTGTTTTTTCCCTGCTGCTAAATGTTTCAGTGTGTAATAGGTGTGTAAAGGAAATGGGTAAACAAGCACTGTAATGTGGGGCAATGGCTTTGTTACAGATCACTTGTGTAACCACTTCCTCTAACACAGGAAGACAGAGGCTAGTATTTGTCACTCTTCTGATGTAGATCGAATCACATTATACCTCATGTTGATACTGTAACTGTGAAGACAAAATATAAAGTCACAGTATAGAATGCAGAGCTACGGCACACCTGTTCTTTCAATAGGCATGAAAAGGAAGAAAACTTACTCATTTTGTACAACTTTCAGTTAGAGATTATTCTAAGTGGGTGGACATCTTGCCCATGTCCACCTGGTTCATAGGCCTGCCTATGTAAACGTCATTCTTCTGCACTGCTGCTTATCCTTTCAACAATCCAGTTCTCAGGACTCTTTCCTAATTTAGCCTTATTAGTGCTCTGGCCATAACCTACTTTGTGTGGCTTGTCTTGCATTTTGACCTTGGTCTTCTATAACTTAGACCAAGCTCTCATACTCAATTTTGTCCAGTCTGTAAAGTATCATTCTAATTTATGCCACTAAAATTGTTTCAGCTGGCTTGTTGTTCAAGTTTTGCAGAAAACAGCAGCTCAGAGCAGTGACTGCTTGTTCACTTAAGACATTTTCAAACCTTGGACAGTAGGACACCGCCATACCATGCCAGTAAATGTACATAATACTCTGGCAGGTCAAAGGAAAAGCACATCAACACCTGAAGACAAGGTGCAATGAAATGTTTAAAACATATCTGACCTTTCAAAAGGACATACACCTTGTTAAAATCTACTGACCTATGAAGATTACCACACCACTTTAGGTGCAACAGCAATTCAGTCAGTAGTACCTGCCTCTTCTTGCCTCTGGCTGAGACTGGCCTTTTGGGCCTTTTCTTCTAGATGTGGAAATGTGCTGGTTCTGGCTGCGATGGAGTTATATTCTTCCTAGTCGCTACTATAGGGCTATGTTTTGGATTTGTGCTGATAATACAGGGATGTTTTAGTCATTGTTGAGCAGCGCTTACATAGAGTCAAGGCCTTTTGTGCTTCTCACCCCCACCCCACCAGCAAGGAGGTTGGGAGTGCACGAGAAGTTAGGAGGGAACACAGCTGGAACAGCTGACCCCAACTGACCAAAGGGATATTCCATGCCATATGACATCATACTCAGCATATAAAGCTGGGGGAAGAAGGAAGGTGGATGAGGTGACATACGTTCAGAGTGGTGGCATTTGTCTTCTCAAGTAACCGTTATGTGTGACAAAGCCCTGCTTTCCTGGAGATGGCGGAACACCTGCCTGCCCAACGGAATTAGTGAATGAATTCCTTGTTTCTCTTTGCTTGTGTGGGTGGCTTTTGCTTTACTTATTAAACTGTCTCCATCTCGACCTGTGAGTTTTTTCACTTTTACCCTTCTGATTCTCTTTCCCATCCCACCAGGGGAGTGAAAGAGAGGCTGGGTGGTGGTTAATTCCTGGCTGGGGTTAAACCATGACAGCACAGCAGGCATACTTGCTGCCAGAGGGCTAAGACAGAAGGATTAAAAAAGGCACAAAGGGACCTAAGGTTTTTGTAGTCCCTGAATAATCTGTACTGTTTTGGTACAAACACAAACGTGGGGTGATCCTGCAGTTGGCAAGTGACTGAGGTATGCTGGGCACATGGCATTCATCCACGGCTTCATGAAACCAAAGTGTTGTACAGAGCTAAAAATACGGTGGCTTGTCAGACAGGATGAACCATCCTACAGCCAGATACCTAGAATGCCTGCAACCATCCGTGTCAACTTTCCATCCGTGTTCTTTTTTTTCCCTCTTTAATTGACTTGATTCTTAGAAATTGATGGTAATCCAACTTAAGCAACGTGAATTGTACAGTTTGAATCTAAGCTTTTTCAACCGTTTTGGGTGCATGTGATGCTTACTTTAGGTTTTGTAATCTAGAAGGCCTACTTACTCTGTTGAAATAAGAGATGTGGATTTAAACATCATCGTAAACCATGTGGTTTAAGATACTTTTGATGGATTATAGGTACACTCAGACTCAATTTAAAATATTGGCTATACAGAAGCAGCTTTGTGTCAATGCTGCCATGGAACGAAGGAAACCAAAACTTACGACTCCAGCATCCTTATAAGCTTCTGCCTCTTGACAAGCTTGATCAATGATCTGGGTCAATGGGAGAGAACTTCTTGGTGTCCCTGCAAAAATAATGCTGTTTAGCCTAGGGCACACACAAACCAAAACAACATACAGTAACAGCTTTCAGGTAGGATAACTACAAAGACTGGCATACAGAAATAGGGAGAAACAGAGTAAACTTGTTAAAAGGCTGCTGTATCTCCTAGAGGCATGCCTTAGTGGCATTTCTGTCCTTGGCTGAACTTGACAGATCTGCTATAACCATTCAGCTCCTAAATCTGTTTCATGAACTTGAGGAATCTGTTATTGCGCCAAGTCTGCTCTTAGCTTGTTATTCCTGTACTTATTATAGCTTATCCTTCATTAGTGATGCTCCACACAATACAACCTTTGGCAAAACTGACCTCTAGGTGTGCAGAACACCTATGCTAAACGTTAGTCAATTTAAACTTAGTTAAAGCTGTCTTAAACCCTAATCTGCAAGGTTGATTGTATGCTGAAGTCCAGACACATGCTTCATGGCAGAAATGAACATGCATGGATTTCGTTGGAGTTCAATGAATTTCCCTTAAGATCAACTCCAAAGTCTTTTCTGATACTTGGGTTCCTAAAGCCAGGCACTGAGAGTCTGAAACAGCGACTGTGAAGAGCCCTCTGACAACTTTGTTACGTGGCCTGATTTCACAGCACAGGGAAAGCCGGCTATAGTGCCTGGAGGCTGCTTCTGGGAAAGCGTGGAGCACGCTGAGCTCCAGGCACCAGCCTGCCAAGGGGCAGGTCAGCTGCTGTAATCAGCTCTGCTTACCCTGAGCACATGGAAAGGCGGGTGAGGCCAAGGAGGAGCAAACCCTGCCTGTTGTCTGAGCTTCCTGCTGCCTTCGGAGACCCACGAGAGCTTTATTCGACACCTATCCTGTCCC